CAGCCACGTATGGTCCACCAAATGGCCAATCTGTCAATTTTATTGCATGATCATCAATTTTTGTATGTATGTTTATGTTGTTTGCATCCCATGTCACATGGTGGGGGTCCTTTTTGAGGAGTTGCATGAAAAGGAATTGAACAAGTTTCTTCTCATCCCTTCACATTTATGGCACACACAAATTTGTGAGTGAGATTAATTCGGGGAAATTAGATGTTACATCGGATTGCTTACGCTCGATGATCGTTAACCATAGATCTGCACATAATCAGACACACCCATATATGTGTGTTTTGGATGGTTATTTAATCTCGTCTATTGTTAATTATCATCCAGTGTAATTGACTTAGTGTAGCATATAATACTCGATTATTCAATTAAGGGTGTAAAAAGATTTAGCTAAACTTTATGATACCAAATTAATTTTAGTTTTTAATTTTTTTAAATATTACTAATACTTTTCATTCTATATTTTACCATAAGAAACACACGAGTCACCTCATGAGCTTTTGAACAAAAATCTCATAAACATTACGATATTGACTCTAGCTTTTGTCGAGCCAACTGAGTTCATTAATTCCCTTAAATTGAATAAAAACGGTAAGAGTCTCTCACACCAGCTCTATTTATTTTCCTTTTTTTTTAAATGTGTCAACGCTAGTGAATCTTGAAAAAAAAAAAACTAGTGAATCCTGATTTTTTTATCCAAAACATGTCTTTGTTTAAAATTTACATTTTTATTTCACTATGCATAGCATGAATAAATATAGTATTATTATAGTAGCACGAAAAAAACAGTGTTAGGCACAATATGTTATCTAATCAATGATTGCCTTTAAATTCTTAACCACACAAGTACATAACTTTGTTTTAATTTTATTACACTCCAAATAAAAGGGGGAGAGAGAGAGAGAAATCATCCTCGAAATAATTGAAATTTTGTGAATAGGTGAGTACAAAAACGAGGCATATGCCCCATCAAGACATCCTTTGTGCTTCCCTTTTCATTGAAATTATCGATAAAAAATTAAATAAAATAAAATAAAATAAAAGAACTTGTCGACAAAGCAAACCTAACAAAGTCACATCTCTCACATTAATGCAATACTCGACATGCACACATGAGTCTACCTAGTCTTCGGGAGGCGAAGTAGACGATCGCCTAGGGCCCTTGAAATTTTTACGTTGCAGTATTTACACACAAAATTCAATTTTTTATTTATTTTAAGAATTGCTTCTTTTTTCATATGATGTAGATTACTTACTATGCTATTTATCCCAAAAAAAAAAATATGAAATTGTGCTCATATTGAACAACATTTATATTTGAAGAACCAAAAACATTGAATATTGCTCCTAGCTCTTTACAATGGCAACTAATTTGCTACCCTAATCCTATAAAAAAAAATAGCTATGGTTAAATTTCCAATCGTCGAGGCTAGTTATCCGTTGTAGCTTGTGGAGGAAGACGAGTAATTAACCAAGGAGCAATTCGACGAACCACGGAGAAGCAACAATTGGGCCGGGGTGACTGACGAAGAAGAGTATGTCGGAACTTCCGACCCTTTCGGTGCTTTACTCGCGGGCTTGTGGGCCCCATCCGCCCCCGCAGAGTGCTCGTGCTTAATTTCCTTCAATAGTGCCACCACGTCTTTCATGGCGGGCCGATCGTCCGGGCGGTTGCTAGTGCATAGTAAGGCTATCCCTAGGGCTTGAAGCATCTCTTGTATTTGAGTGTCCGGGTGCCCTTGGAGCCTCGGATCGATGATTTCGACGGGGTCCGCTTTGCTCTTTAGGCGGTCGCGGACCCACTGGATCACGTGGAGCCCCTCCGGGAACGTGGGGTCCACGGGCTCCTTCCCCGTTATGATTTCTAGTAGAACGACTCCGTAGCTGTATACGTCGCTCTTTTCCGTGATTTTGAGCATCGAAGCATACTCTACATATACAACAAAAATAATTAAAAAAATTTAAAAAAATAAAAGGAACCAAATTTAGGTATATTATGGTGGTAAGTAGTTTTCAAGGAAAAGATGTATGCAAAGTTGAAGACAAATATGTGAGGACAAAAATTTTATGTGGATAAAGTTAAGGCAACCACATGAGTTCACATGCATAATTCCCCACTATTATTACAAACAATTGTTAGAAAGAAACTAAATTATACTATTATAACTCAATGCCAAGGATTGTGGCCCTATCAATTTTTTAGCCTACTAGAAGAAATAAACTAATCCAAACAAGACACTATTATTATCCTAGGTGTCATGTACTAAAGTGAACCAAAATATAATTAAACATAAATCAATACAGTCGGTACTTACAAAATTCTATTAATTTAACGAAATATTAAATTATCGAGCTAATAGTTTAGTACGTTTTTATCGAGTCGGGACCATGAGAAATTATTATTTAAACGAGGTTATTAATTTATAGAGTAAAAAAAAAAACAGTGAAAGTGAAATTACCTGGAGCAAAATATCCGTATGAACCAGCAAGTTGGGGGTATGCCGAAAAAGAACCGCAAGTAGTTTCGTCCTCGATAAAGCGCGCGAGCCCGAAATCGGCCAAACACGGCTCGTACCGATCGCCTAATAGTATGTTTTGCGTCTTCACGTCGCGGTGGAGAATGGGGGGCACGCAGTCGTGGTGTAAATAAGACAACCCCTCGGCAACACCTAACCCTATCTTGAACCGGATCTCCCACTCGACCCTCTCGCCCCGGCCGTCGTGCAGTAGTTCCGCTAAGGTGCCGTTTGGCAAATAGTCGTAGAATAACAGCTTAGTCTTCCTATTGGTGGCCCACCCCAATAGCCTCACGATGTTCCGGTGCCGGATTCTGGCCAAAGTCGTCACCTCCGACGAAAATGAAGCGGCGGAGTACTTCTCTGATAACCGGAATCTCTTGGCGGCGATGGTGGGCCCAGATGGGGTGGCGGCGCGGTACACGACGCCCGACCGGCCGTGGCCGATCACGTTGACAGCTGTCAGGCACTTTGCCACGTCGTTGATGGACAAGTCGAGCTTCTGGTAGAGTGTGACCTCCCACGGGCCCACGAACTCCATGTCGTCCTCGCTGGCGAGATCGCAGTCGTGGGCCCGGCGGGCCCGCATCTTGCCTCCGAGGATGATGTAGAGGGCGGTCAGGAGGAGGAGGCAGGCCGTACAGAGGAGCACCACCATCGCCACCCTGGCCGCCTTCCCCCGCCTGGCCGAGCCGCCGCCGCCTCTATCGGCGGCGCACTCGTTGCCTGAGAAGCATAACTTGGGGTTTTCGGCGAGGACGCTGAGCGGGAGCTTGGCGAAGAACGGGGTCTCTGGCACGTGGCCGGAAAAGTTGTTGTGGGAGACGTTGAGCACCACGAGATTCTGAAGCTCCGCCAGGTAAAGGAGGTCGCCGGAGAGGTGGTTGTGAGAGATATCCAGCACCCCTAACTTGTCCAACGCAGTGAACGCCTTCGGTATCCCGCCGGAGAGCTCGTTCCGGCTCAAGTTCAATGCGATCTCCAGCGCCGGAATATTCCCCAAGCTAGCCGGAATCTGACCCTCGAGCTCGTTGCTGCTCAAATCAAGCAGCTGAAGCCTGGAGCACGAACCAAGTTCGTCCGGTATCGAACCGGACAGTTTATTCTGTCCGAGGATGAGCTTCGTGAGCGAAATCAACGAGCCGAGATTCGAACTCAATTCACCTTCGATCAGATTTTCGGACACATCAAGAAACTGAAGAGAGGCAAGCTGATTCACATTCGCCGGAATATTCCCGGATATCGAATTCGAATGCAGATCAAGAAACGTGAGATTCTTGCATCCGGAAATCTCGGCGGGTATAACCCCGGATAACCGATTCGATCCAAGATCAAGAAAATTCAAATTCTTCAACCGCCCAATATCAGGCGGCACATTTCCGGTGAGCTTATTATTACTAGCTCGGAATCGGATAAGCGAAGAACAGTTACCGATCTCCGGCGGAATCTGGCCGGAGAGATTATTCGAGAGGAGCAAAAGCTTGTTCAGATTCTGCAGCTCGAAGATCCCGCTCGGGATGGGGCCCGTCAACGAATTCTGCGAAACGTCAACAGCTTCGAGCTTCCGACAGTTGGATAAAGATTCGGGAATATTCCCTTCGAGCCGATTCTGCCACAGGAACAGCAGCGTTAAATTCGATAAATTCCCGAGTTCGTAAGGAATGCTGCCGCTGATTTGATTGTTGTCGAGCTCGATATGAGTCATCGCAGTGCAGTTGCCGAGTTGACTCGGAATCTTGCCGGAGATCTGGTTCACACTCAGCTGCAGCTCTTGGAGAAAGCTCAAGTTGCCAAAAGTCTCCGGTATATCACCGGTCAACGTGTTCATAGATGCATCGACGACAACTAATCTCCGGCAGTTTCCGAGCTCCGGCGGAATGATGCCGACTAAATTGTTCTGCCATAGGAGGAGGTTTTGGAGGTTCTGGAGCATTCCGAGCCGCGCCGGAATTGACCCGGTCAACGAGTTTTCGTAGAGGTAAATGTTCCGTAGCTCGGTGCAGTCGCCGAGTTCCGGCGGGATTTGGCCGGAGAGAAGGGCGGTGTAAATTGCCAGCGTCTGCAGTTTCTTCAACCGCCCCAAAGAAGGTGGGAGAAACCCGGAAATGCTGGTTTCCGCCAATCCCAACATGGCTAAATTGGTGCAGTTTCCGATTTCTTCGGGGAGAGCGCCGCCGAGGTTCTTGTTCCCGCCGGCTCTCAGAACTGAAAGCTGCTTCAAGTTGCCGATGGTGGCCGGAATCCCGCCGGTGAGCTGATTATCGTAGATGGTCAGCTCCATCAAACCGGTCAGGTTTCCAATTTCCGCCGGAATCGATCCCTCGAGCCGGTTCGTGCTGAGATAAAGCTGCTCCAGTTTCGGCAAATGACAAATCCTTGTCGGAATTTCGCCGTTCAAACCATTGTCGCTCAGGTCCAAAAGCTTCAGTTCCAGAAGATCGCCAAGTGTTTGAGGAATTGTCCCAGTGAGATTAGTCCCCGACAAACTCAACTTGTTCAGAGAAAGCAACGAGCTGAAATTCGCGGGAACACTCCCGAGCAAATCAATGTACTTCAAGTTAATCTCCACAACCTCGTTCTTGAAATTGCAGACAATGCCGAACCAGAGGCACGGAGATTCGTCGGTTGAATCCCAATTGTTTAACGGCTCCAGAGATCCATTCAAGCTGTTTTTCCAGGCGAGAAGGGCTTCCCCCTGTGAATTGAGGGAGAAAACAGGGGCAAAATTGAAGAAGAAGAAGAAGAAAAAGAAGAAGAGCGGCCATGGATGAACAGGCATTAGAAAAGAATAAAAGGAAACTAGGCCACAAATTCCAACGTTGGGCAAAGCAAAAAACAGGGTTTCTGGGAGGAAAACAAAATCATGTCTTTGTAGGATATAAATTATAATGGATTTTTATTTTATTTAAGAAAAGAAGAGTGAAGAATATAATATACTTGGAAAAAGTGGCAGAATCTCTGGATCCAAGAAAACACAGCTAGGCCATTATGTTTGTATGCAGAGGTTAGAGAGAGAAAGAGGAGAGAGAGAGATGGAGGGAATTTTTTAGGTGACTGTTTTTTTTCTGGGAATTGTTAATGGTGGTGGGATGAGTTTTTTTTTTTTTTTTTTTCTTTTGTTTAAGCAAAAAAAAAACAAGGTGGTGGATGGAGATGTAACAGTGACAGTGACTCATGGTGGATCTGCAATTTCAAATTTTATTTTATTTTATATATTTATTAGTGTTAAATACACTTTGCTCTCTTGAAGTATAGTTTATATAACATTTACCCCTTAAAGTATCATTTGTGAAATATTATAAACATCACAATCTAATAATTATTGGATCATAAAAAAATGAAAAGCTAACTAAAATTAATTATTGGAAAAAAAAAATTTATATATTGTATAATTATGAATGTAAATATATTTTAAGAAATTAATGAACTAAAATAAATTTAAACACTTAAGATTACTATTAGTTATGTATTGATTTCTTAAAATTTATCGATATGAATATATTCGATTAACTAGTCCGACAACAATTAGATGTTATTTATTAAATATGTACCCAACGCAATATAATATTTTTAAAATTTTAAAATATTGCATTTTTCAACATATATTTTGAGTTGTGTAATTTAATTATTATTTTAATTATTCCTTTCAATAAAAGAGAAAATTTTAAGGTATTAGAATTTAAAATATAAATTAAATTGGTCTTGAGTGGTAAGTGTTACAAATGATACTATAGGGGTAAGTGTTGCATAGGGTATACTTTAGGGGTGTAAACTGTATTTAACCTTTTTATTATGGGTAAATAGCACTTAACTTCCCTGTGTTTTGAGCTTTGTGCACATGACCCCCTATAGTTTGAACATTATACCCATGACCCCCTTGTACTTTTAATATAAGCACATAATCTCTCTATAGTTTATCACTTGGTAAGTAATCATGCTCGGGAGAGGAAAATTTTGAGAGTACAAGGAGTTATGTAATTATATTAAAATATAAGGGGTCATGTGATATATTGAAAGTATAAGGAGTCATATGCACAATGTTGAAAATAAAAGGGGATAAGTGCTATTTACCCTATTTTTATTTTCGTCTGTTTAACTTTATGTATTTTTCTTATACAGAAAATGTCTAACTTTATTTATGTATGCTGTAAACCTTTCCCACTTTGGTTTTTCTCTGGGAGTTATTCATTGCAGAATAATTTATTTTACAGTCCCATCGTTTTCAGCCAATTAGATATTAATATATTAATATTTTTCTATCGTATTAATATATAAATAATGTAATTCAACATTACTATAATGGAAATGGAAACAATTTTTTTGAATTTGGACGATTTTAATCCGAAAATTTCCAACTTTAGAGTAAACATTTTAATAGTGAATTCCAAAAATTCTTATTTCCGATTTTGTCGATTTTTAAATTGAAAGTGGAATAAATATAGGATTCCGCTTTTCCAAAATAA